GCTCTGCGAGGGAAAGGAACGTAATGGCCATACTAGGTACTCAGTAAATGTGCTGAACATTTCAAGGTAACTCAAGATACTTTTCAGAACAAAAGTGGGGCTAACTTAGTGAGTAGGACCCAGGCAATTTAGAATATTTTGTGTACTTAGCTAGAGAACCTTTTATATGTTTTAAACAGTACAAGCATACACTTCATCAAGCACTTATTTAATACGGCTTTATTTTGTTAGTCCTTTTAGAAAACTGACACACTAATTAAACCTGTGTTTTTCAAAACTTTTAAGAGAATAACTGAAATTCAATAGTGATTCTTATTCTGCTAGTGACCTGTTTTTGGACAGTTGCCTATTATGAGTTACAATAATTAACAATCCAAATGCATTTTAGAAAAATTAGCATGCACAGATAGTTTTAGAAGGAATTAAAAAATGTATGAGAATCATGGTATAAAACAAAGATATTTAAAATAATGCTAAATGAGAAAAGCAAAAGATAAAATTGTATCTTTACTATTTTTACAGAAAAGGTAAAACTATGTCCCAGAGACTGGACAACAGTTGGAAAAATTATGAGTTGACTCATTAGGGATGCGGAACTATGGGCTTTTTGGCTTGGGTTTTTTTTTTTTTTTTTAACTGCATGACTATGTTTTAGGCACTAGATATCCTGCTGTTAGAAATGTATATTTTAAAGGCAAAATAATATTAATACATAAACAGATGATAGTGTATAGAAAGTGCAAGACTAAGCGAGGCATTACAGGGTGATGGATGGTGACTCAGAAACCAGCATGTCTAACTTAAACAGGGGGAAGCAAGAATGATGTCACAACGAAGATAAGATTTTAGTTTTCCAGGAAGAAAGAGGCAAAAGACATTCCAGAATGCCCCCCTTTTACCACCTGTAATACCACTGCTATTCTATTCATGAATTTTTTTTAAAATTGGGGGTGAGTAGAAGGAGCAAGTAAAAAATCTAATTAATTCCCATTGTTAAAGTTAGAAGAGTTTAAACTACTAACTAAATAAAAGTAGATTATATACATATATATATATATGCAAGGAAAGACAACTTATATAAAATCTTTCTAAAATAATTCATCGCATACATGATATGTTTTCTTTCTAATAGGCTGGAAATGAACAGCTGAAGCTCTAGAAATAGAAAAATAGACTTGAGTAAATGTACACACTGATAAAGATAGCAGGAAGGCCTGTCAGTTGTTGTGCCCCCAAAAAGAAATCTTAGGTGGGATGACGATTTAAAATCTCATTTATGGGTAGCGCTCCTTTAAAACAAAAAATGGTATAAGAGGCTTTTAGGGGTTAGGGTGGAACTAAGATTCGAAAGACAGACATCTATTACCGTCTATATATTAAATTGCATAAGAGAAATAAAAAGTAACACACCTATAGCTAATAAAAGAGGCAATTGATGAAGAATAACAAAAACATGAAGACAAAAAAAATCACATTTGACTTAAAATTGAAAAAGAAACACAGATTAACTATTAGGCTTAAATGAAAAGCTGTAGGACTTATTTTCTTTTGTGGCCTATGGAGACAATCTCATTGATTAGGAAATCAACACATCACACTCACAACCCTTACGTTTGCTGATCTATATCATACTTACCACAAGCAGTGGGTTTTCCACCTTTTAAAATTGGGGGCTGACTTCCAAATTTGGGCCAGCAACTTTAAGACTATGAGACTCAAAAGAACACCAAACAGATCAGCCCTAGTGCAAGGCGATCACTGTCACTGAAGGACAGCATCGTCCAGAGCTGCGATGAGCACTTACAGCTATGGCTTCCTCACCCTGTGGCTTTCAACCCCACTCCATTGTCTGTGTGGCCTCCTTCCTGCTCTGACTGTCCTCACGCAGTCCAGAGGCACTGTCCTCGCCATGTCTGGAATGAAACCATTCCTTGCTGCTGGCCCCACATTACAATGTACATGCCTCTCACCTCTGTCTTGCATATGCAAAGAAATTTTTAAATATTTACTTATTTAATATAAATGTATATAACTGAAATTACATCAGTGCGTGGCCTATAAAACTCAAGTGTTCTGTCAGAGGACACACACGGGGTTGTAGCAAAATTACATTTTGTATGTCAATCAAAATTTGGTGACACACCAGGGAAGGGCTTTCTGGGTACGATAGATGGTAGAACAGGCCTGAAAATAGCAAACCACTGTGTGGATAAAGCAGAATGAAAATCAATAAAACTGTAGGAAAGAGATCCCGAGACACAGGAAATATACGGACAAGAGTAAGTATCACAAAAAGGGCATTTGAAAACATGACCACATTGGAAGAAATACACTTTAAGAAAAGAAGAATGTCACAATAGGGGGTGTGCATTACCAAACTCTGCTCTGCCATAAATTCTTTGTTTTTCCTGTAAACCACATAGGTGACAAAGGTAGGGAAAGAAGCTAATTAAAAATGATGAAACGATTCCAAAGCCCTCACCATTGTTTTACACCAAAGGCATTTCCAATCTTGTAGCCGGAGAACACTGCCGCACGTTTTGTCACAGACAGCACATTTGGCGCTCACAGGCAAGTTGCCTTCGAGCCACTGGTGAGGCATAGCGACCTGTGGAGCAGGAACAAAGGGCAGCCAGAGTGAAGGCGGTGGCAGACACCATGCTCACCCTAGGGAAGGTGCTGAGTGACTTCTTACACTAGGGAATCGCTAATACATATAATGCATGGCATTCACGCATTCATCCCACATTTACTGAGCACCTATTATACCTGAACCCTATGGGACACAAAAGTAAGTAAGAAGAAACCCTGCCCTTCGAGATTCAGGTAGCAATCTAGCTGAGGAGAAAGGCATGTGAAGGGATTATGATACAGGGATCACTAAGTGCTATCAGAGACTCGTGTGCAGGGTGGAACGGCAGCAAGGTTTTGAAGGTGGAGAGGAGGCCCCAAAATCTGGAAAGTGAACATCTGAGCTACGCCTTTAAGAATATTCTCAGAGTTTGTCAGATAAAGGTCCACAACACCAGCCTAGCACAACAGCCACTCCTACACCCTATTCTCAACAGATTTCCCCAAAATCTCAGAGCTGAAGAAAGCTATGAAGGATTGAATTAAAAATAAAAACATAATCAACTGAAACTTCCTGTTTAATCCTAACAACAAATACTCTCACTTATCTCTCTATCATTAGTTTCCACAAGAGCATAAAATAAGAGATGAGGTACTAAGAAGAGAGCAGAGGCAGGGCAGCCGCTTACCCCATCTTCGTCTTCTATGATGTCCTTCCCGATGGAGGCCAGGGTGGTCCACTTGCAGTTATTGGTTGCTCTCACTGCGCATCTTTTGTGAGCCTTGAACTTACACACTAAAAAAAAAAAAGCATCCATTTTTAACTGAAGAAGTATTTTTGGACCTATTGAAAGGAAATCACGGCATGAAACTGTAAAAGGGTGGGACTAGGCAGAAGAGAAACAACTATTTAAAAAAATTTAAATTGGGCCGGGCGCGGTGGCTCACGCCTGTAATCCTAGCTCTCTGGGAGGCCGAGGCGGGCGGATTGTTTGAGCTCAGGAGTTTGAAACCAGCCTGAGCAAGAGCGAGACCCCGTCTCTACTAAAAATAGAAAGAAATTAATTGGGCAACTAAAAATATATAGAAAAAATTAGCCGGGCATGGTGGCGCATGCCTGTAGTCCCAGCTACTGGGGAGGCTGAGGCAGTAGGATTGCTTGAGCCCAGGAGTGTGAGGTTGCTGTGAGCTAGGCTGACGCCACAGCACTCTAGCCCGGGCAACAGAGTGAGACTCTGTCTCAAAAAAAAAAAAAAAAAAATTTAAATTACTCTCCAACAATAGTAATGGTATCCTAAAAAACAAATATGGCTATGCGTTTATGAAGCACCTTTATCAAGCTGTAGATAGATTACTGAGAAGTACAGAAAAGAAATAAATACAAAAGAATTAGTACTTGAAGAGAAAAGAGACAACACACACACACACACACACACTCACTCACACACAGGAGCAAATAAAATCTGGTAACAGGACTGCTGGTAACATCCTGTTTCTTAATCTGGGTGCTGATTACACGAATGTGTCTAATTTTTGAAAATTCATTGAGCTATACACTTCTGATATTTGTATTTTTCTATACATATGACATACTGCTAATAAGAAGCTTGAAAATGCCAGTAAGATAAAGATAATTCGGGAGTTTTAAAATGCAAGTACAAGAAAATATCCAAGCATCATGGAAAATCAGTTGATGAGGGTCACAAACACGCCACTACCTTTTAAAATTATTATGTTGCGATGACCAAATGACAAAGTAAGAAGAATGAATGATGAATTGATGTTTCCACTACAGGCTTCACTAATTCTCCCAAGCCATGTTATCATAAAGGAGCTTATAAAAGAGAAATAAGAGGAAATAACTAGGTAAGAAGCCCAAAAATGGAAAAACAAGTAATCTACAGGTTATTTGAAAAATAAACCATGCTTATGCAAATCAGAACTTAACTACTACTAAACACATATATCCCTCTAAGGATATCAGTTATTCAAGTATTAGTGGATACTGATGTTATTAATACATCTGTTCCTGACTTTTCAGATAAATAGTTAAAAGTAAAGATCAATTTCAGTGGAAACAATAAGGTAACTGTTGCTAAATTTAAATGTAAAGCGACTCATGCTCATGATTTTTTGAATTTCTGATAGTCAATCACTAAAAAATTTTGAATGACTTGTTATACACCATTCTCTTTAAACTGTCCTAATTTGATGTAACATGAAAACAAAAGGTTCAGATAAAATAACTAAGATGTCTATGGCCAAATGTTCAAAATGCTCAGCTATCATGACTAGCCTATATATCAATGGCCACTTAAACTGAGCTGGCTTATCCTTGAAAAACATTAGTCTGTACACATTGGAAATGTTTCACTTGCCTCCTCTTTTGTGTACTTTGAAAAATTCTTTCCTGGCAATCATACTATTTTTGTTATAAATGACTATGTGACTCAAACACAGATTTCATATAGAAAACAATATTTCAATTGAATTTTGTTGCTGATAAACAGTAAGTGTGAAGACACAGCACTACAGGAAGTAAGCTTAGCTTGAATAAAATTTTTATCATGATTTGCTCCAATACAAGTGACCATTTCAAACTGTGGTCAGTTAGCATCTCTAGGCTTTTTCATTTATTATGGCATTTTTCAAAAGTGGAATCCTAAAACTATCTGCAACAGAGTCCCTAAGGTGATTTGTAAGTACAAATAAGTACTTGATATTAACAGTTGCTACCTGGTTTCTAA